TTGGGGTCTGTGCCATGGAACTGACAACATACAGACGCGGCCAAGCGAGCCAGGTGGTGGGGCTGGGTTGCATCGGCAGGCTGCAGTACGTGGTCCTGCTTTGGACACGAATTCTCAAGACCAATGGGCTTCTTTGTTTAAAGCTGCAGATAGAGAAGAAGACCCCAGCTGCAGACCTCAAGTCTGGCAGCCAGTCTGGCAGCCAGTCTGGTGCTCTCAAGTCTAGAGGGGGGCTTTGCGGCTGTCGCCTGCTGTTTTCAATACTGGGGCGATAGAGGATGTTATAGGGCGACAGCGGTCAACATGATTGAAATTGACGTGGGAGGTCCAAGAAGTCTGACGAACAGAATCAGAATGAATCGGATGACAGTATGGCCCAAACCCCAGAAATGGACGATTTGGTTACAACGAATGATTGGGATATTCGACCAAGTTTTGGCCGTATTTGACCGCAGCTCAGGTGATCCTGGATGTTGTTTGGCTCAAAGGACATTTCCGACCGGCTCGTCGAGTTTTTAAAAGAATGGCTCGATGTGATGCATGCAACAACAAGGCGGCCAGTGATTGTGATTATGGCCTTTGTGGCGGATGCTGCACTTATGGAGCATGTTATCGTCATGGGTGGTTTGAATACCAATGCCAGACATGCAACCGGCTTTTCGAGAATGAGAACAACCTGAATCAACACATGCGAACTCATTTGCCTCGCAACAAGATGTGCCCAGCTTGTGGAAAGGCCTATTCCTCCATCTCCAGTGTGACCATGCATGTGGAGGGGGGGCCATTGTTCAGTATGTCAGGGCCGCGGAGCAGCAATTGTCCACGACTTTATGCGTCAGAATGCGCCGCATTTCTTCCGCCCAGCTCTTTGTGATGCGAGCGAGACAAGCGAAGAGTCAAATGGAGATGAGCCATACTGCAGGCTTTGCGACCGATCATTCAAGAACTTCGGGGCGTTGCTGCAGCACCAGGAGGCCAAGCATGCTTCGCAACAAGCTCCCAAACTAGCCCTGAGAAATGGATATTATTAGATGGCTGTAGGTTCAGACCGGTTCAGACTGCCCCAGGAGAGTGGTTCGCTGTAGTTCAGATTCCACGGAAGAGTCTCCTGTTCAACTTTGGTGTGTGTGCATGCGGGCAGACCGGTGTGACCTACTGCCAGATAGTCACTATAGAGTCTTAGTCACTGGCAGACCGGTGGGGTCTCCAAAACGGAGCCCGACCCATCCTGATTGTTTTTCCGCTTCGAAGCTTCAGACATGAAAGGCGATATTGGGAGCTGCGGCGAGAACACCGCCACGTCAGATGTTCATGCAAGTGATAGTTCTGAGATGCCCTGAGAGTATTTATATCGTTTCGCTTAGAAGAGATGGGTGTGGGTCAATACCTCTGTTGGAGACTGTTTATGCAAATGCCCTTTTTTTTGTGCCAGGCGATGTGCTTTTGTGTCACACTATTGACTCGTAAGAAAGGAACAGTGTTGTTTAACTACTGAATCAGCCCTACATTCTTTTCGTGCTGCCAGTTCTATATGAAGTTTCCAGTCACGCCAGCCATGACCGCGAAGCCGGAGGCCGTGGCTTGAAATGAGGCCTTCATTTCGAGAATCACGGAATCACGTTGAGGTCGGAAGTCGGTCAATGAGTCCACCACATGGGCAGATAGATAGATAGATAGATACCCTATGGATCCAGTCGTACCCTCTGAGAAGGTGGGACTGGGGTGGGTTTGGAGGGTCCAAGTACCTTTTGAGGAGGTACTTGGATCCCTAGGGATAGATAGAGAATTAGATTAGATAGACAAACCAATACATCCATCACCAAAGGATTCATCTTGACAATATTTGTTATTTAGATGGGCTACTTGTGATTGTATGGACCAACCACGTTTGGATGATTCTCAGTTCTCGACATCCCTTTTTCTTCCTTCTCCTCCTCCCCTTCCTTATCCTCATCCCTGATCATGCTGCTTGATGGCTACTTGTGCAGTTCATTTCACTTCTGTTGACACCCTCCCGGCCTTCTACTTGCAGCTTCGGGGCTGCCCAATCGAACGCGCATGAAATGTATACCCAGTTGACAATCTTCCGATTGACACATAAGCATCTCAGATCATCTCAGGACATGTTTGCAAAGACTGACAACCGAGCATCACAGATTGGCGGCGGGCTCACTCATGGACTCTCGCATTGCCAGGCATTGCAACAACAGCTCCAGGAACAATTGTACATCCAGGCGACTTGTGAGTTCATCCAAGCCTGCGGACGTTTGTTGAGAGAAGCGAAGAGGACTCATCCACGTGCTGTTTCCTCTCATACCCATGTGGTGAAACACCGTCCCATCCGGCGCCGATGATTGGTGGAATGATCGGTCTGCCGGCGAAAGGGATGAAACCGACGGGACGACACCAGCTTCACAGCTTCGTGACGCCGGGACTTCAGTCATCGTGGTGGACACCTTCGCTGCACGTTCGCGCGACGGACTCGACGTCGGAGGCGGCGGTGAAACCACTGAACATCGGCCGAGACGACGAGGGCAAGGGGTCATGCTGGGTCATGCTTCTCGAACACTTGCCACTGGACATGTGAAGAACACCATGCGAGCGCTAGTCACGAAAGCTAGCACCAGCTAGCTGGAGTTTTCCTTGCTTTAGCAAGTGAGGGGCTGGAATCCTCGAGATCGCCGCATCACGTGAAAACTTCATATGTAGAGGGGGGGCCACCCCCCTCCGCGGGTTCAACTCCCCCCTGGGACGCCTCTGGGACACCTCTTGGACACCTCTTATGGCATCCACTTTGGTTCAACTCCTCCGTGGAGGTTTTGGGATGCGATGCAACAGATTCAACAGACTCACAAGCTAAGGTTGGCTGTGTCATTGCTGTTCGTGTGTCTTACATGTTCGCAACGTTTTACCTCATGAGCGAGACCGTGTGAACCATCCCTCCAACAGCCCCATGCATACGAAAAAAGATTTGCCTCACTCCGCTTGATGTCCCACCAGTCCTTTGTCACTGGACGGCGCTGTATGCTTTGCCTCCACTGACACGGATGCATCCCTGCTAGCTTTCGTCACCTACCCTCGGCCTCAAGTCCATTTTTTCATCACACGCATGATAGTACTATATATCATCATCACGTACTATTTGTACTTGAGTCTCTTAATTCGGCCTCGGATCATCACCCGAGTGCGACCCGGTCGCGTTTTGCTACCCGGTGGACGGTATACGGGCGTAGGTCGGTTTTCAGCCGGACGGTTTCAGTCGCCGGTCCAGTTGAGCGCCACAACGATGGCGGTCAGGCAGTGATGATCCGAACAGCATGAGCAGATGAGCAGCGACAAGCGGGTGTGCTGTAGGGTGTGCTGTGGATCGAGCCAATGGAGCCAATAAAGGGTCATGAGTTAGATCTCACAGGTGTTGGTATGATCAGGAGGCGTAGAAGGCTAGATGAGGTCCAAGTTCAACACTTGCTCCCCCTTGCCTCCAATTTTTCATGACACAGGAAGAGATTTAAGCACGGGCTTGCGGCTTGGTTTGTTGCACTGTATCAAAACAAGTGAATGGGATCTTTTGCCGCACTGTTCGTATCAACCAACGTTCACCTTCGGGGTCCCATCTTCTGGAAGGAACAGGCCGATTGGCTTGGCTTTACTCGCAAGGGTTCTTGGCATCAACCACCAAGTGGTACTGTACGAGATGTGTCTCAGTACTTAATCTATTTAGTACTGATTTCACATGATTTCAAGAAGTGCTTCTTGATGACATCCTCCACGCGTGCGTGCGTGTGATCCGGCTGTTGGACGCGCCGTGTGAGCGCAGAAGTTCTGCCCGAAGTCTTCCAGGAACCGGTTGGCCCAGCCGTGACCAGACCGTCGTGGCCAGCTTTGGAGTCTCAGAGACTGCCGGAGATGGCAAAGAGCGAAGCCGTGAAAAAAGCCATGGAGGTGCAACATAGCTCCTCCAAAGATGCATTAAGCAGGTACCTAGAAGCGATGGCCTCCAACCTACTTGGCCTCCAACCTAAGAGCAATGGCCTCCAACCTAATACCTAATACCTCCAAAGATAAATGTGTTTCATGATGTCACAACTTGTAACAGACTGGAACAGACTGGACAAGCGGATTACATTGAGTCATATTGAGTCCAGCCCCTTGATTTGGTCACAACCTATCAAGACCTGTAAAGACAACATGGCCCGCGTTGACCCAGTCTATCCCCGCGTGCGCCATTCGAACGAGTGAACGCGTGCGTAACCTTGATTGGACAGATGGGAGTGCATCATGGAGAGATGTGGAGATGAAGGCAAGCACCCCATCACCTGGTCCTGTGGATCTGAATGGTTTGTTTTCGGAACTGGGTCAATCCCCAAACCTACCAGGACCCCCAAAAAAGTGGTGAATGGACACCCCGAATCTATAACAGCTTTTCGGGTCTATAAATAGACACCCCGAACGAGTCGGGTCCTGGTATAAGATGTTTTCCTTGCTTTTTAGAACAGCAAGATCACCTCGATCACATCGCAGAGTTTTGTTGTCCCAAAATACAGCCTCAACCATCCTCTTGGACTACGTCCTTCAAACATGACCGTTTTCACAGAGGTACCTGGACCGCGGTCTTTTCTGCAATCTCCCAACTTCTTCACCACTAACTTTGCGGCTGGTAGTAGATTAGTAGATATTCTATTGTTTTATGTGAATTGCTCGGAGCGCCTCATTATTTGGCTCCAAAATAGGATTGAACACTCAGCAAATGCTTCTATGGAATCTCAAGCATGACAAAACATGTGACAAGGTTCTGCAGAGTTTCCGCTTGGAAGCACAGCATTCTGACCATTTGTCAGCACATGTGCCAGCGGCAACAGGTGTGTGACAATGTTTTTTTCTGCGTGGAGCAAGAAGGTTTGCCAAGGTGGGTTTGTGCATCAAGAAGAAAACAATCACACATTTCAACAGTTGCATCATACATAATTAGATCATCAATTTCTTTCATTCATGGTTTCCCCCCCAGTTGTGCAATGGATTCTTGAACAGCATGCAGATGCTGCTGTTTCGCCATGGGTTTTTGGCGTTGCTTTTGCTGGACCTATGTGTTGCATGGGTGGGGCCCAAATTGGAGGGTCCGGCAGGCGCGTCAGGAGGAACTCGTTCAAGAAGCGACATGAAGTGACTATGTCCTAGTAGCTTCTTGTTACTAGTAGTATGGCCAGGAGCTACTAGTAGCGTCCTTGCTCGTAGTAGCGATGTCCTTTGTTACTAGTAGCTTCTTGTTACTAGTAGCAATGGCCTCCAACCTACTAGCGATTGCCTCCACGTAGCGTCTAGCTACTCAATATATCTATATAGTAGACCTGATGCGCCCTTGCTCCATGTTCTTGTTTTTGTTCCTGGGCCATCGCAGGCGCTTCTTCTGCTACAACCCCTCAATTTGAACCCAATGCGTCTGGGCTTTCGGGTAGATCCCAAACTGGAGAACAAGAACTGCGTCCAATCGCTTCTCCTCGGTCGCTGGATGTAACAGAGCCATGGAACCGGCAAGGTGAGCAGCTGATGGAGTGGATCCAACACCAAAGGAGTTCGCAGCTCTTTTGCCAACTTATGAGGTGCCAGGGTTTGGTTTTCCAAAATTGTTGTGTTTTTTTTAAATGCATTGTTGTTTGGGTGCCAAGTCAGGCACAGTGCAGTTCCTTTTCTGTTAGGGATGGGGGAACATGAACAGGAATTTGAATGATTCAACACAAGAGATTGAGGGTCCAATGTCGAAAATCCATCAATTGTGGTTGTGTGTTGTGTTTTCATGGTGAGGCCGTGTAACATCTATAGTGATTTTGTCTTCAACATCTACAGTAGCAGATCTACCTCCCAGCATGGTTTGGTACCACAGAAATTCTATTTGGTCTTCCACCCCACATGTCGTTTGGCAATGTTTTACACCGGAGATGTGTGTTCCATCCCGGAGATGTGTGTTTTTTCCATGTGTGGGCGCTCTCTGGCGACTGTGCAGGCAGAGACATAGCTGTACGTTGACAGAGACCGGTGGTGTCTACTGTGAGGAACGAGGCGAATGCCTGAAGAACTGCGCAGCGTGCACTCAGGAGAAGGTAGAGGAGCTGCGTTGCGTTGAGTTCTACCAAATCCTTGGAAGTGGTGCACATTAGGCAAACAGGAAGTCGACATGTTTGAAAGTAAATGTTGATTGACATGAACTCAGTACATATGAACATAAATCATAAATGTCGACATGTTTGAAAGTAAATGTTGATTGACATGAACTCAGTACATATGAACATAAATCATAAATGTCGACATGTTTGGAGGCATGCACCACCTGTTGAATTTTGTTCACGCGTCGACGAGGATTTTTTGGTTCGCGCGAAACACTCGAACCCTTCCACGCGAAGCATCTGGCAGCGCTGCCGGTCCAAGAGCCTCTCACCAATGCAGTTTGCCATCTGTTGAGCATTCCCTTCAGTCGAAAGTCCCAATTTTGCTACTCTTCTTTCGTGCGTGATCTCAACAACGACACGTATACGTTATTTTGGACATCTCGTTCGACCGCAAGGGAGTCCTCCAAACAGATGGGTTCAGAGAAATCCGGTCGACACCGGTCGGTAGCGCATGCTCGAAATTGTATCACCTAACAGGCATTGGCTGAAGTTTCCATGTGTAAGGTTGTGGGAACCCTGGCAGTGGACCGCAGGAGCTTTTGGAGAAGGCAAAGAAGGATATTGCAAAGTTGAAGGAGACTGCCTCAGGCGGCACCTGCGAAGCCGCAGCCAAGGACACAAGTGAGACGAGCAGGAAACAGAACATTTATGAATGCGCTTGTAAAGTTGCATATTTCTGGGATTTCTCATGGCTTTTTTTTTATGGGGGGTTGTGAACGTTGAATCATTTGAAGGTTGTGCTCACGTTCAAACGTTCGGACAGCACCAAACGTTCGGTCGCACGCGTCGAACACATGAGCCTGTGGGGTCTCAGTGCATGTTTCTTCGTGGGCCCCGGTGGACACCGCGTGGACACCGCGTGCACCGCTTCGGGTCATGTTGCTTCGGTCTCTCAAGGCCCGGTTTGCCGTGTAAGTTGGAGATCATCCCAACGTGGAAGGTTCGGAAATTAGACCATCCGGAACCGGTTGTGGATCTCATGATCTCCGTAAAAACCAAAACACACCCATTTTAGAGTTTCCCAAAACCCAAAGATTCTGGCGCCTCATTCGACCCATCCCAAGTTAGCTTTGGAAACCCTGGAGGCCCGAAACCTTTGGCTGTCTTCGTGCTGGGCGCTGTGGCTTCGGGCAAGTCCAGCTTTATCAAGAAGAAGCTGAGCCAAGAGCTCAAGGTCTGAAGCCGTGACCTCTTTTTCTTCATTGCACTTGCACAAGACAATGACGATGTGAGGAATTGATATCATGAGAATGGAAACCGGAGTTGTGTCTCAAACAATACTATTTAAACATGCCGGCCGACTTTCCCGATATATGCATCCCTATAATTCCCTGGACTCCCCTCCCCCTCAAGAATAAGCACCGTGTGTCAACAACCATCAACAACTTGTCCCTCCTTGACAGATTTAGCTCAGATTTACTATCACACTCACTGTTTGCCGGACAAAAACAAATATAGCATATATCATATATATATACACTGTACATTACTGTACTACCTTTGTTCCCTCCTTGAAACATCACACAACCCCCATCCGTCTTCCCAGAAACCAGAGAACCGGAACACCGTCACCGCATGTCACCGCTGGACCTGCCGCCGGCGCGGCAGGTCGCCGACTTCGCCGCCTCCGCCGTGCACGTGAACGCGGACGAGCTGCGCGGCGCAGTGCTGGGCTCCTACGAGGTCTACGCGGCGGTGAGCAGCAACGCGGCGCCTCGGGACGCGACCGGTGCCGAACGGGAGCGGGCGCGAAGGCGCGCGGTGAAGGCGCGTGGTGAAGGGAGTGATGAGGTGAGGGATCTGATGGAGTATCAAACAACAAACAAAAGGGCAGGGCAATAGCTGGAATGCTCCTATAGTCACTGCCACTGCCATTGGCTGGATTTTAGACTGTTTTTGTGTTTTAACCAGTTAAGGCTCCATTTACACACATTCAATATGGTTCCTGACATGTTCTAACCCCAAACCCTTCCTTCCTGGCCTTGGCGCCTCAGAATGTGTGCCATGTGTGCTTCCCACCCACCCACGCTCTTCTGTCTTCTCCTGTCGCTCTGCTGTCTTCTCTGCCAAAGGCCACAGCATGGCTCGCGCAACCGGCGCGGCGACATCCGCCGACCGTTTGCTCCGAGGAGATGGACCTTGGACCGGTCAACCAGGCGGCGCAGCAGCTCCGGCGGGAGATCCAGGAGCTCGTTCGCCGAGAGAGGGTGAACTATTTGGCGGACTCCATCACGATGCCCTGGAAGGTGCGGCCCTTCTTGGGGGGGAGGGAGGGGGAGGGGCAGGAGTGGAAGGGAAAGAGATGAGGTTGAAAGAGGCGCTTTTGGGAGGTGTTGATTTTGTTGTAGATGGTGCCAAGCAATCGTCTTCAAGTCTGTTGAAGATACGTTGGTCCTCCAGACTTGTTGTGGGAATCGGGAAGCCTGCAACACCGCCTCGTGCTCTGGTGAAACCACCCCTCCCCCGTGCCTGCAATGCCAAAGCGGCCCGGGGGAAGATGGGGGAAGCCGGCACGGTCTGGAGGATTTGATGATGACTGCAGGCCAACTCAGAGGATTCACTATGCCCAACACCCCCAAAAAGGATCAATAGGGCGCACTAATGGGTGTTTCGATCGCCAGGGACGTGTTTCTCTTTGGGCTGTAGCAGTCCTTTGGACTGATTCATGTCTTCTGAAGTGTCCAATGAGAGCTTGAGTTGCCTCGCAGAAGTTCCAGGACCAAAGCTTGATTTTGAGACTGGCTGACAGCTGGTTTTGGGAATGGCTTGCTCCACGAGCTGGGCCCACTTTGGGACCTTAAAATGACCTGTGGGACCAGGGTGGACTACCAGATTGGTCCACAAACTGAAATTTATCTCAGCCTTGTTTTAATCTTATCAGGATCTCATACATGCCCACTGCTCTGTCGAGCTGTGGCGACTTGCTTTAAGCAAGTCGCGCGTTTTTCAGGATCGGTTGCACCATGGTTCACCTCTCCTTCGCGCCTTCGGCCGGGCGTTGGCAGGTGGCAGAAACCTTTCAGGAGTCATTCACAATTCAGATCTTCTACCTGAGCCTACCGGGAGTCACCAATGAAGCCAAGGCGGAAGAAGGGCAAAAGCGCTTGGATGCACGTGTTCAGCAGGGCGGGCACAAGTCCAGATGCTATCCGGAGCAAATCCGTAGGACTGCAGGGGAGAGGCGAGCGCTCTGAGACTCGCACGAATGGTTGAAGAGATGGCTAGTAGCGAGCTTAGTAGAGCTTAGAGTGAGGTTGGCATGGCCAAAAGATTTGCCCTGGAAAAATCAAGATGTTCTCAAGGTGAGCATTCGACTATATATAGGGCGAAGTTGTGTGTTTGCAGGATAGAGACAACTAGTAAGTAGTTTTTGTTTGGTTTGGGTGCCATCATGGACGGCCATGGGTCTCGCGGGTAGTAGCTCAGTAGCTGGGTAGCATGCGTTTTGCAAGGTTTTTTTTTCGAACCTGCAGAAGTGACGTTTGTATGTCGTAGGAGCCAGGCTTCAGCCGAAGCCTTGGAGAAGGAGAACATGAAGGTCTCATGGCTCGAAAGCCGAGATGGAGACTTCTTTCAAGGACGGGAGCGTCAGCATCCCGAAATGGCCGATGGGTGAAGCAAATCCTAGCCTGGCAACTGTAGAGCATTCACCAACGTTCGGATGAATTCGTTTGTATGTAATGCTACATTCGTGCCGTTCGAACGCTTGCTATACTGGTACCATTTGCTAACACCGCAGCCCTCCTTTCCTCGAGCTTGTTCAACCATGTCTCTGCCGCCTTTTGCGCTGGTTCGACCAGCGAAACGCCAACAGAGCAGGAGCGCCTTTGCGGAGTCCGTGCACTGACATTTGGTGGCCCAGCGGCCTTTCGCCACTGGACCGCGAGCGAGAGGCGCCATCCAAGCGAAGGAGACGTAGAAAGCCTGGAAGACTTGAAAACTACTGGATTGTAGAGGAACATCGTCTTCCAGTCTGGTCCATTTTCAGGTTCCATGTTAGTTTTCGCAGATGACGTGGATGTATATTGCGACCAGACTTTCCAAAGGCCACCCCAAATTCAGTACTGTAAATGGAACCTTCGGTCAGGCAATTTGGGGTATACGTTACGAGGGGTTTACCTAGCGGTGTTTTCTCGTCTTCCGCCTCTTTAAACGGCGCCACACTTCGCTTCAACGAGGGTGCTCCCTGCAGTCCCACCAGGCCATTGGCTTTCTCAAGCGAATCTTCCTCAACGATGGAAGCTCTCAGCCCGTGGAGCTTCCCACGCCCGACTTGCAAGGGGTCCTCCGTTTGGATCCCGGCTTTTCGGTGACGGTTGATTCCCAGCGCGGCCACCCGGCGCAGCCGGCGAAGGGTGGTTGGGACATTTGGAGCCATGTTGCTGTGATTTGCTCATCATGCAATCTACCTATAGTGATTTGACCACACACACTGTTATAAGTTATATCCCAAGCAATTCGTGAGGCTTTGTGAAGCATATCGCCATGAAAAAGAAGACCGACACCAACATGATCCTTGGAGTTGTAAGTTGACTCTGTGCCGTGTCAAAAAGAGCTTTCTATGAGTTTGCGCTGCACCTCCCTCCCGTAAGACATCACTTATATGTGTTCAATGCTTTTGTACTGCATGCCGGCAAATCAGAGATCACTTAAGCACGAGGGTCCGCACCCCTTGGAAGCAATGAAACCACTGTGCATGATGTTTCTTCTCAATCCACCATTTGACCAGCCTGACGCCACTAAGAACCTACTTGAACTGTGCCTTGCACCACTTTCCAAACCTCTTGCGCCTGATCCTGGATGGCTCTGAGCTGTCAGGTGCCTTTGCCGGAATCGATATTGTGAAGCAAATGAATCCAGTGGATGTCCTTCCCAACACAGAGATGTGCGGAGATTGAATCACTTGATAGTGTGCCAGCCAAACCACAGGTGGTTACTATAGGCCTTCTGCTTTTTCACCTGAGGACGCAGCTGCGAACTGTGGCAAAACCCCAGAACGTTTCGCCGGGGTGTCCGCCCGCTTGGCAAAGCCCAATCAATTCCTTCAAAAAAAGCGGTTCCACAAACGATTGAATAGTCAGTCAAACGACTCGGACCAAGAAGATGCCTCTGTCGTACAGCCAGACAGCCAGACAGACCCTTTGTTAACGCCACGGAGTGAGGCCGCCTAGCAGAGTTGGAGCTGCCACGTCAAACGGAACGCCTCCATTTGCGTTATTGCCCCCAGGCCGACGAACGAGCGAACGACCCCCGATGATATCTCCTTGATATCTTGATTGAGATACCTGATGGAAACAAACTGAACATTCTTTTCTACAAAGCTCCTCTCCCAGCTTCTTCAAAGTGACCTTTTGAAGGTTCCTAAGTGACCCAAACAGGAGGCTTAAGTGACCTGAAACCAGGTTATCAAATATAGGTCACTTTGAAGAACCAGGATCTCTTTTTCATTTTTTTCATGGAAGTGGTGGGGTCCCCGGTCCCGGCTTTTCTCCGCTCAGTCGATCACGGGGATCCCCGGTCCATGGGGTCCCGTCACTTCGAAGTGGCCGAGTCGGAACGGATCGCGACGCGACCGGGAGCAGTTGAAGATCAGCTGCGCCGGCTTGATTCATCACCCCTCCCAGTAGCCCTGTCCGATTTGTGGATGGTAACACCTCTTACTTCAGGCGAAAGGCGCTTGAAATATGACTTAAGTCTAGCTGAGAGGCGCGCGGACGCGCCGGGTGACACCAACGCAGGGCGCCGGCCAGGCGGCCCCCCCTAACGCCGTGGCCGCACGGAGCTGCGTCGGCAGGTGGCTGTCCAGTTGCAGGACCTCAAACGCTTTCAACAGTTGAAGGTCGTGAAGCTGGAGGCGGGGGATCCAAGTCTTAAAAAAAAAAACCTTTCATTGGAGAGAGCCTGTTTTCAACATGTTAAACAAGAGATTCTGGCCTGTTTTCAACATTTATACAAATCGAGTCGTCATGTGTCCTTTTTTGCTTTTCAGGAGGTCCCGTGCTCGGTACGGGTGTCTTCGCGTTTGCTCCAGGCGTACCACGAAGGTATGACTGAACCCTCCTGGCACCCACCCCCCCAGTCTCTCCTTCGAAAAGAAGGGAAAGAAGATTCATGGGCTCGCTGTGAACTTGCCAATCATGGCTGTGATCGATAAGTACACACCTCCTGGCTTGCCGTTCTCGGACACGATATTACAGTGTGAATTCGGATCCGCTTCATCCATGGAACCGACCCGCCCCCAACACGCCGAACCTCCAGTTCCGCCCGCCGTGGCCGCTTCTTCTCGTGCGCCTGCGGCACACGCGGGCATGCCGCGTGACCGTGGGTTTGACCGCGCCGGAGGGATCCAATGTCTCGGGATCTCTGGAAGCCTTGAACTTTACCCATCTAACGTACGTGGACCTGCGCGGTGCCTTCACCTGGACGGAGATTGTGGGGTGAAAGGAAAAAGGGGAAGGTGAGGACTGGACCTGCCGGAGAACGTGGGACTTGCGTGGTGTTTCTTTTTCAAGGTCAGTTGCAATTTGCTTGGATCCTCGAAAGGTCAAAGCCATCTACAGATTGTAATGGGAGTGTCACCCCCCTTCTTTAGTCTCCTCTTGGTAACAGAAGATCATTTGAACCGTGCCGTGTTCTGGGGCGAATCCGAGACACACGTCGTAGATGAAAGTGGTCTTCCGGCAGGTCCTATTCCTTCCATGTTTTGTCGTTTCGTAAAACCCTGCAACATGTTCACAGCTGCTTCTGCAGAAGATTGGCTTTGTGAGTAGAAGATGGCAACCCATGGCCGAACACGGATCGGCTTTGTGACTCCGTCCCCCTGTACGGCGCAGAAGGTGACAATGGCGCAGCAGAACACACATGAACACTCTGGTGACACTAGTGTTATCAAGAAAGAATGAGAACAAAAGACGGGTGAATCCCTATATGTTTATTCCCCATCTTGCCTACTCGTACATATTCCAAAAGGTTGCCCGTATTTGGAGGTGAGGAATGCTTCGGCAGAGGGACGCGCCACAGTTCGGACGTGCAAATTGGTCGCATGAAACAATACACACAGATGCACCAAATGCACGTGCGGTGTGGGGAAACTCATGTTCCACCAAACAGGATTGACCAGCTGGCCTGACGGTCTTGTCGTTTGAAGCATGCACAATCTGCGGCCAGTCCATGCAAACTTAGCGTGCCTGTGGTCAGAAAAACATGGCATGGTGTTTAGGAAGCTTTGCATTTTGAGGGTTTGTGGTGAGTCTAGGTGTTATGATTCGAGGGATTTCAGGGTTCTGATGAATTTGGACTTGGTGCTTTTGACACCTGCGGCCCTGACTGCGGCACTGAGGCCATGTGAAAGGAAACTTGTCCAACCTCGCATTCTCTTCCAATCTCATTGGCTTCTGGGCGCAGTTCACCAAGGTCAGTGGAGATGCCTGACATGCAGTTACTGTACCGGGGGGGGAATTCGCCAGTTCACCTATGCCGAGACAGTCGTGCGTCTCCCTTTTTTCGGGGGGGTGCCAAAACCCGCGTGCACCGTGAATCCTAGGAGATAAAGGGATCTTCTGGAATGAGGTTTCAGCTTTGGATGAACCGATTCGCAACCTTTACCGGTGTCGGATGGTGTGGTTTTGTGCAATTGTTGTGGGCGAGTCATGACAAGATTTGTGAATTGTTGTGACACATATAAAAGTGCATATATTTTGAGAAGATCAGTGGATTGTTGTAACCATATATATATAAGATATTTGAATGTATTTTGAGAAGATCAGTGAGTTTTATATTTGCCATGGATATGTGGACCAGTCACAGCTGTTTTCCTGGTTGGTTAGGACATCAACGCTTTGGTGCGGAACAATCTCAAGTTGGAGTATTTGGACCTGCGCGAGAGCCAGGTTTCAGGCTCTATCAATGATGAGTGGAAGGAGAGAATGAGGACCACAGGAAGGACGTGAGCTTTCGGGAACGTTAAGGGGAAGGTTCTACTATAGGAACCCTGCCCAAACAATCCATATAGGACTGGAATATTTGCGAGCTACAGTGGTGGGTTTTAAGATGTTTTCAGAGTGAATGTAGGTACTGTAAATAGTTCAATCCCATGGCTTGTTTGGGCTGGGTACGACACAGCGATTGGCAGTGGCGGACACCAGGACTCGGGGGCGTTTGATTCATCACATGGGATTTGCTGAAAATGGCCGCCACGCCCTGCTTTGGCGTGTCCAGCTTTGGAATGACTAAGAGGGTTTGTATCATTTGTATTCGTTTGTATCCCCAAAAGATGTCAAAAGAACAAGAGATAACAAGAGCACTTGCGGAGTGGGACCTCAAGGACGTGGAGAGTGAGAGGAGAGTTTTCGAAATGGAGTCCCAGAGCACAGGAGCCAACGGGGTTTGCTGGTAGGAAGTCCATAATTAACAACATGTTGATACATGATTCTATTCGCGTTCACACATCTCATCTCGGCAGCAATAGGCTTAGAATAGAATGAGATCTGAAAAACAGTACATTAATTAATATAGTCACTATAGTCCTTTGATTTTGTATCATCATTCCGTCCTTTGCAACTCTTGGTGTAATTCGTCATTGAAACGCCCGCGTCTCTCCACCACCGCGTCGAAGGCCACCAAACCTCGCCGCCAAACCGTTCACGAACGAACGAAGGAGTCTGGGCAGTCCTTGAAGGAGTTGCGTTTATCTGGCTCTCAGGTGAACTTCCAAATGAGCGATCCACCCGTGGGGGACAAGAAACCACAGATGCTGGCAAAAAAAAAACACGCTTTCCGTCTTTTTTTTTTTCCGGTGCGATGGACGGACAGACTCCGACCATGACCCTCCTTTCGCTCTCGCATGGCAGGGAGATGTTGTGCAGCCCTAATTAGAATATATATCCCAGACACGACGATCCACAGGACTGCCATATAGGACTGCCGCCCCAGAAAGACCCCCCTTTCAACCACCCCAACTGATCGGCCATAGGACTGGCAGTCCCATTAAGTCGTGTTTGGGTATATGGGATTGAAGCAACAGAACTTGAAGTCATTTGTTTTCTCTCCGGTTCTGAGGATGGCGTTTCCCAAGCTGACCATCCTGGATCTGAGCAGGTGTCCTCTCAACATGGATGTGTGGAAGTTATTGCTGCCATTGTCCTACAATCATCAGCTAGTGTGGATGGTGGCTCGCAAGACGGGTTTGTGGGGTGAAGTGAAGGATATGAAGCAATGGCAGAACTTTCCGCTACAATTTCATTTCAAGATTCTGGACCTCGCCTACAATCGCATCGAGAACTTGTCGGGAGATCCGTTGAGTGGTTGCACTTACAAGTTGCGAGGAAATCCCTTGAAGGAGACCTGGCATTCAAGGAGATCAGGTGATTGTTGTATATTTTTGTATGTTCCAGATACCTGGGGAATAGTCGTGTTTTTTTTTGGTGTTCACGGGTTGGACGGCAAAAAATAAGGAGATCAACCCCAAGTATTTCCAATGGCCCTCGGGCTTGGATCTACGTGATTCGAACTTCACCTACGATAAGATCGACAAGGACTTTGACACTTTCCTCCAGGCGATTCCACCGATCGGCCGGAGGAGTTGATCGCCCCGCCGCGACGTAACGACTGCGACTGGCAGGACGGACTGCCTATGGGGTGATTGAAAAGGGGTCAAGGGGGGTGGCATACTGTATATAGCAGACATATGCAGACATGGAGTGTTTGGGTAGTAGTTCTCTTAATGACACCTGGATCTTCCAACGTTGCAGAATTGGCGCCGAAGTGGGCATGGTTATATATACATAGGATGAAAAGGCAGATATTACAGCCTACCCGAAATAAATAGGATGTTCATACCTACTGTCGACAGACCCCTCTGAAGATCTATGATCTCCGCACTCTCCCCATGGAAGGTCGACCAAAATTCCATGACCGCGGTGGATAAGAACCTGGTGGAAGGATGGGAGTGCCGGGGCGTTCAACCGCGGAGTGGCAAGAGCGGTTGCAAGTTGTGGGTCACCGGCGAGACCTTCGCCCCTGAGTGCCCCGGCGAGATGGAGCTGGGGAGCTCGGGAGAAGTGGCACACTTGGAAGGTAGGTCGACACCGGCGAAGCGCCCGAGCCAAAGCATGGTAGGTGGACCGATGTTGACTCCTATAGTTCTTTTTTGGGGGTAGGGAAAAAATGCTAAAAAAGTTGATTGAGTGAAGTTTTTGAAAATAAAATGAAACATGATAAAACCAGATTTTAACATTATGGTTGATTTCTTCATTTTAATGAACCATATCAAAATCAAAGCAGTCAAAGCATAATTACCTCATTCAATTTACAAAATCAAAGCAGTCAAAGCATAATTACCTTATTCAATTTGTAAAATCAAAGCAGTCAAAGCATCATTACCTTATTCAATTTATAAAAGCAAAGCAGTCAAAGCATCATTACCTTATTCAATTTATAAAATCAAAGCAGTCAAAGCATCATTACCGTATTCAATGTATAAAATCAAAGCAGTCAAAACATCATTACCTTATTCATGTTTATCAAATCCTATCTACTGACCATTGCCTAAATTTATTTGATGCTTATTTGTTTTAAGATGTCTTGAGTAACATTGTTGCCTTATTGAACAATTACAAACAGAACAGGTAATGGTTTTTAGATTTAATTTATGGTTTTGTTCCAGTTTCTTTTTTCTATATATATTCTTCATCTTATTCATATCTTTTTCTTTGTGCTTCATTTACTTTATCTATGTTTATCACGTTTGCTCTTTTATATTCTAAGCATTTTTTTACAAGCTTTAAGCCCTTCTTCAAAATTATCAACAGGTAAATCTTTGACACAATATCTACAAAATCTCTCCATCAAAATATAAGATATCATGTTCTTAAACGTATTTCCTAAGAATTCTTATCAAACACTTCCCAGAAAAGCAGAACAACAAACCAACAATACAAAGAACAGAACAGAAGACCTAAATACAGACAAATTCAAAGAACAAAACATATAATTCACATAAAAACTACTTAAATATTAAATGACTTAATAAAATATATAGAGTATTATATGATGAAAAAAGTTATAGATTATCTATTAAATAATGGTTTAGCAGAAATACCTAAGAGAGGAAGAAAAGAATTAAAGCAAATAATCATAGATGGTAGGACATTTAGATACAATAAAGCAAAAGACATATCAAATGTTTTAAATAAAAAACTTAAATCAATCAGAAATACAAACGAGTATAGGAGTGATGCCTTAAACAAAGCAAAGGATGCTTACACCCTTGGACGAGCGAAAGTATTATTAACAAGGAGGGCAATAAGAAATAAATTCAGAGTAAATGATGTCCAGTCAGCATTTAGAAACTGTAACTATGCCAATTCCATAAAACTAGAAAATAAACACGTTCAAGGTGAGCGAGGATTGGAAATAACTGCTCACCAAAAATCACGATTAAGAGACTTCCTAAAAAATAATGGAAATATGAAACTTAACATCAGAACGGAAGGTTTTTTTGAAAAACCTGAATATGATGATGGAGGAAATACAATTGCTACAAGCGAACACCTTTATCAATTACCAGCAACACGCTACAATGTTCATAATGAGGATGAGTTAAACCAAGCATTAGAACATAGTGTTCAACAAATCTTATTGAAAATTCACAATTTAGAAGGCACACAGTCCAATTTAGTATTTAAAAATATTGTTTCAGTAACCATTCATTTTGATAAGTCTGACCCTACAAGAGCGGGGAGGTATATAGAACTACCAGAATGGATTAAACTTAAAAAGGCGTGTATCAACATAACAAATAAAGACCAAAAATGTTTCAAATACTGTATTCAATGCATAGTCTTTGATAAAATCAGTAAAAATCATCCAGAAGAGATGTTCCACTATAACAAGTTAAATGACACTATTTTGAATTGGGAAGGTGTTAAATTTCCTACAGGGAATAGGGACATAGACCGGTTTGAAGATAACAATAAGCAAGTTTCAATAAATGTTTTTGAACCTGATGACTGCTTGAAGGACAACAAACTAATTTTACATAGAGGAACTAACAACAATAATGCTAAATATGAGATTGATGTGTTAAAGATTTTTGATGATGACAATAATTATCATTACGCCATAGTAAAAAACAAGAGTAGATTACTACACTGTCAAAGCAACAAGGATGATAGTAGGAAACATTATTGTCATCAATGCTTAAATCCATTCTCAACGGAAAAGGCCTATAATAAGCATGTGGAAACAGGTTGTATGGCATCAGAAGGACAGCAAACCAAAATGCCTGATAAAGGTAGTTATATTGAATTTGAAAAAACATAAGACTAAATTACCGTGTCCTTTTGTAATCTATGGAGATTTTGAATGTCAAACCACTAACTCCAACAATGGTATAAAAGGCACATATCAGGAACATAAACCGTGCGGTTATATGTTGAATGTAGTAAGCAGGATTGATAATACATGCCAACCATAGTTATACAGAGATGAGGATTGTATGAGAAAGTTTGTAGAACAACTGACTGAAATCAAGAAATATATTTTTGAAAAGATGAATGTTAATAAACCAATGGAAATTACATACGAACAAGAATTAGAGTTTAGAAAAGCAACTCACTGCTCAATATGTAATAAGAAATTCCAACCTGATGATGAGAAAGTCCGCGACCACTGCCACTTCACAGGTAAATACAGAGGCGCAGCGCATGTAAAATGTAATTTATATTATTCATTTAAGTTGTTTAAACTCCCAATATTTTTTCATAACCTAAAACTATGATGCTCACTTAGTCATTGCTAAAGCAAATGAATTGAACATAGAATTGAATGAAAACAAAAGGATAGATGTAATAGCACAAAACAGTGAAAAGTTTATAACCTTTTCATTTGGTGCTTGTCAGTTTAAGGACAGTTTTGCTTTTCTATCAGCATCACTGGACAAATTAGTCAGACTAAATACATATGAAGGAAATGAGAAAGTAAAAGAATGGGAAAATCACTTCAGATATACAAAAACAAATCCATATATCAAGTCTAAAACTGATTTAAATCTACTAACTGATAAAGGAATATACCCATACGACTATATGAATTCCTTTGATAAATTTGATGAAGAACAACTACCAAGTAAGGAACACTTCTATAGTCAGTTGTATGAAGAACATATCACTGATAGAGATTATGATAGGGCAAATGTTGTATGGAAACACTTTAATATAAAAAAAACCTTGGTGAATACCATTATCTGTATTTGATGACCGATGTTTATTTGCTGACTGATGTTTTTGAAAACTTCAGGGATATGTGCTTAAACCATTATGGTTTAGACCCAGCATATTATATAACTTTGCCTAATTATTCTTGGAATGCCTTTTTATCACTAACAGGAGTTAGACTTCAACAAATCCACATCAGAGACATGTATGAGATGATTGAAAACGGACTGAGAGGAGGGATGACACAATGCTCATACAAAAAAAAGTAGAAGCAAACAACAAATATATGAATGAATAATTTGATAAATCTAAACCATCAAGTTATATAAGTTATTTGGATGCTAATAACTTGTATGGTTTAGCAATGTGTAAGAAATTGCCTTAATGATAATTCAAACGGCACTACAACAAAATTGATGAACATAAAATATTGAATTACACCGATGATGATGAAATAGGTTATATTATGGAAGTTGGTTTAGAATATCCGAAAGAAATTCACGACTTCCACAAGGACTACCCACTAGCACCTGAAATTCTGAATATTAATGAGAATATGCTTTCTCAAGTTCAAAAGGATATTCATAAATACTATTATGGAAAAGAAGCAACTGACGAGAAAACAATCAATTTAGTATTAAATGTTATGGAAAAAATATGTATTACACATATCCGCCTTGAAATTCTATCTACAACACGGTTTGAAACTAAAGAAAGCCCATAGAGCAATAAGTTTCGATCAAGCACACTTCTTAAAACCTTTCATTGAATTCAACACTGAGAAGAGAAAACAAGCAAATAATGATTTTGAAAAGGACTTGTTTAAATTAGTAAATAATTCTGTTTATGGTAAAACTATGGAAAATATTAGAAAACACGGTGATTTTGAGTTGGTTAATACTGCTGAACGCTTCCAAAAACTGGTAAATAAACCAACATACAAACACCGACACATTATAAATGATGAACTTGTAATAGTTGAAAAGGATAAACAAACAATAGAGTTAAACAAACCTATCTATATGGGCATGTCTATTTACAGCCTTCGGCATGCCGCCGGCCATCAGCTCGAGCCCGCACGGCTGGTCGCCATGGCCCGGGCGTGTGTAGCTGTGTGTAGCTATTGTGTTTTTTTTGTGTGCAGGTTATGCAAAGGTTAGCTAACAGAGTGTACGATATCAAAGTGCGTGAAAACAAGGGGTTTGTGCGCGACATGACTTGGAACATGCACGCTGGCTGGAGATGTTTGTGTCAATGAGGTGCGGCATCAAAACGAAGTAGTGTAAGAGCCATATAAGTGGAGAGCAACTGGCCAAAAACAAAAGCTGCGCTGGTGTAAAAGCGAGTGGGCAGCGAACAGTACTTGCAGAGAGCGCGTGTGTAACACAGAGCTTCTGCAAAAGCGACATGTAAGCGAAAAAAAAGTAGCGAGGAAATGGTTGCAAGGGGCTTGTGCGCGACATGATTGGAAGGTGCACAGGTTGCGGTGTCAGAACGAAGTCGTGTAAGAGCCATTGCCTAGAATAACGCCGTGACAGTGTAAGCGATATAGAACCCAATTGGCAGCGAGTTCCCGCAAAACGCGTGGAAAAAGCAAGGTTTTTATACGTTTTTCTACACGCACGACTGTGCGCCAATGCATGGCCTGCTTGAAAAAGACGAAGAGGGGGAAGAGAAGAGAAGGAGAACGAGAACGAAAAGAGAAGAGAAGCGAAGACAAGAGACGAGACAAGGCGACAAGACAAGACAAGGCGAGAGGGGGGTAGGAGCGCCTCAACATTAAAAGACGAAAAATGAGTTGGGAAGATGATTTTCATTACTAAAAGTACGAGCACCTCAACATTAAAAGACGAAAAA